GAGCAGCGGAGACGCCCCCTCACCCTCCGCGGCTGTGACTCAGCCCCGGTGACTCGGCTCCTACTTGCTGCTGCTTATCCCAGCCTCCCCCGGGGCTCGGGCGCCTGGGCTCCCCAATCCCCACCGCCGCCCTGGACTGGCCAGGTGACGGGGCAGCACGTGGCCTGGGCTGGTGACTCGCCCCTTAGGAAGCAGTATGGGGCACAGGACATGTGATAGGCCGGGCACAGCTGGAGACTCCTTCTGTGCTGTGGGGCCTGGCCAGGTCGGGGGCGAAGCGTTCTGGGTAATGGCCTGAGGGGGCTCCTAGCTGGGTGCAAGGCATTGTGGGTAACGTGCCAGTGATATGGCTTAGGAGGCATTCCTGGCCTGCTGCAGCATGAGGCACGCTGGGGCTGGCGCAAGGCATTCTGGGTTGTCATAGGTGCAGGGCATTCTGGGTAAAGGTGCCAGGGATTGGGGCTATGAGGCACAAGGCATTCTCCGTGGCACCAGTAGGTGCCGGTCCCATCCCTGGGTTGGTTATGAGATATTCTTGCCTGGGCATGAGGCAATCTGGGTAACGTGAGGCATTTGGGGTGCCTTGTGAGCCTTGTGGCAGTGCATTGTGAGTAACCTGGTGGCTCTCTCCTCTTTCCTCCCAGGTGAAGCGATACTACCCACCAGAGGAGCGCTGCTTCGCCAAGCGCCTGCTGGTCGTGCTTTTGGCCATCCTCTTCTTCCAGATCTACAGCGCCGATGAAGACCTCCCCATGGGCCCCAGCGAGGTCGGAGGGGCCTTGTATGACCCCCCCATCCACGAAGATCCCCTGGCTCCTGCCAGTGCTGTGGCGTGGTCCTGCCGCCCCCACGACCCCACTGTAGACATCTCCCAGTTCCTGGCCTGCAACCCAGCTGCCTTCTGAAGGCCTGGCCCGCCTTGGTGAGGGGATTGTGGGGGACAGCCTGGCACCCAAGGGGGTTCCAGGCCCTGGCTGCTAAGGGGTTAACCCTGCCTCGTTAGGAGCTGCTGCCTCTGAAGGACCCAGCGTCAGCCGCAACTTGAAGCCTCCGGAGCAGGGAAGACTGACATTCAGGCCCGGCGCGGGTCGCTGGTGGACAGTGTTGGGATGATTAATATTAATATTTATTTAATATTGTTGTTATTGTTATTAATTATTTAAATTATATTTATTGTAATAATGGTGTATTTATGGAGGGGTCTCTTGGTAACTTAAAGGAACTGAATAAAAACCATGTGACTAGTCATGCCTGTGACATGTTGTGGGAGCTGTCTTGTCCTGTGTCGGGGGTCATTGGAGGGGTAAGAGTCAGATGCCCCCCACCCCCAAGATACCCCATGGAGGGGCAAAGCTCAATGCCTGTTGGGTGTCTTGGAGGAGGGAAGGGAAAGTATTGGCCAATCAGGGGTGGTTGTGGAGCCTTCGTGGTAGTCTGGTGGGTTGGGTTAGAGTGGGAAGATGAGTTAGGGTATTGACACGCCCCCACCACGGAAAGAGGAATTGGCTTTCCCTTATTGACGTGTCCCTCTTCAGTGAGGGAAGCTGATTATTTTTTGCTGCCCAAAAAGAGCAGCAGTAGCACTCCTATTCAGCTCCCCAGCAAAATTGACTGGATTTCTGCTAATCTTTCCTCTAGGTGTTAACAGCCCTCTCTCCCCTTATGTTTTAATTGCCTTGATGTGCTGCTAAGTAAGCATATCTTCATGATCCATTTGCATCCCTCTTCTCCCCCCTCCCCCCCCACCCCAGTTCCTCTTATTTCACAACCCTGAGGACTGTCTTCTAGTAATGCTTTTGAAATCTGAGGTTGGCCTATAGAGTGGATTTTCCCACAGCATGTAAGGTTTCAGCTTTTGGCTGGATATCCAAGAGTTGCTGACAAATTTAGCTGTGGGGGGAGGGGAGGGGTGTTAAAAGTGGGGGAGCAGGATGGGAAGGTGGGGGAGTGGATTGGCTACTGTCTGGCTAATTCACCTTCCCAAAAAAAGGCTGGGTGATTGGCGGGGGCACCAGAAGGAAAAAAACAGTAGCAGGTTGGCTCAGCTTTGGGAGGAGTATGTGGGGCCTGGTGCCCGGGTGCCTGTTCCCAGGGATTGGGGGATGAGAGCGGGGACGAGGGGCTGAGTGCCTGGATCCTGCTATTTGACTAGAGTTGTGTCCTCTCCAGCAATGACATCAGAGTTGATCCCAGTGACCTTGAACCTGATTGGGGGGGGAGGGGGGGTAATGCGCTGCCATGGTGTGAAGCTGCCTACCCACATGTGGGCCCGTGACTAAGCTGCCCTGTACTGGCTGGTGTGGGGGTGATTTCCCAACTGCTATTCTCAGAGCTGTGTAGTCACAGACCCATGGGGAAGTCCCATCTCCATCCACCCACCTCCATCCATTGGGTCCTCACATCCACCACCCCCTGCACTTCCTCCCTTCCCTCCACTGCATGCTCCCTGCACCTGTTGCCTCTCCCTTTCCATCTGTTGTTCTATGCTTGCATCCTCTTCCCTCACTCCATGCCCACAGGACCTCTTCAACCACCCACTGATTCATTTGTCCACCTACATCTCCTTTCATCTGCCCATCCATTGCTCCACCCCCACATCCTTTTCCTTCCTGGCACAACACATTCACCCCCTGCCACCAGTCCCCTCCATCTGTCCCCAGTAGTCCCTTCCTTCCTTTCCCCCTCTCTCCATGCGCTCTTTCCTTCCTTCCCCCTTGCCCCACGCTCCTGACCCCCCCTACCCTGCCAGTCCAGGAGTCCATCTGTCCATCCAAGACCACCCCCGTCTCGATCTATCTGTCTATCCCACTTTCTCAGAGCTATTCCTGGCCAAGGCCATGGCTGGGCCCTGCCCTTGGCGGTGTTGATAAGGGGCTATTTTCTGTGCAGAGAACAAGGCATCCCTGCCTGGCTGGAGGTGGGGAGCAGGGGTGGGACTCCTGGGTTCTCTGGGAGTTGGGGGGCTGAGGGGGGATTGGGGGTGTTGAACTGAAATGTCCTGCTCAGTCCTGCAGAAAGATCTCTCCTGCCTCCTGGACTCCATGCGTGTGCATGGGCACACGTATGTGTGTTTCCTGGGTGCCTGGGTTCATTGTGTGTGTGCAACACACCTGGGTTCTGTGCGTGTTTGTGTGCTGGACGCCTGGGTTCTGTGTGTGGGTCCCAGAGGCATGTATGTGCGTGCGTGCATGCATGTGCGCCCCGGATGCCTGGGTTCCCTGCATAGGCACCTCCCAGGCTGCTTTGCCACCCCCCTCCCCCCTTCTTGCTCACGGCCGGGCCGGGCTTCCCGGACCTGCCGCCAGCGGTGCCCGCAGCCACATCCGGCCCCGCTCCTGGCACCAGGCCCGTGGGAAGGGGGGGACCCCCCTCGCTCTCCAGCTGAGGGCACCACAGGACCCACCCCTGCCCTGCCATGGAGCTGGGGAAACTGAGGCG